AAAAGGGAGAGGGGAAAAGGGAGAGGGGGAAAGGGAGAGGGGGAAAAGGGAGAGGGGAAAAGGGAGAGGGGAAAAGGGAGAGGGGAAAAGGGAGAGGGGAAAAGGGAGAGGGGAAAAGGGAGAGGGGGAAAGGGAGAGGGGAAAAGGGAGAGGGGAAAAGGGAGAGGGGAAAAGGGAGAAGGAAGAGGAGTAGGAGAAAAAAAGGAGGAGAAAGAAAAAAATAGGAGAAGGAGGGAGAAGGAAGAAGGAGGAGACAAAAGAGGGAGAGAAGAGGAGAAAGGAGGAGGAGGAGGGAGAAGGAGAGGAAGAGGAGGAGGAGGCAGGGCTGTGCCTGACGTGGGGTCGTTGGCCAGGTTGAGGAAGAGGCACACGTTCTCCATGGAGCCGTTCTGCTCGAAGTCCGACTTGAAGAACCGCGCCGTCTCCATGTTCACCTGCGGCGGGCGGGACACGCGGTCAGCGGGTGGGGACGTGGGGACACGGCGGCTCTGGGGTCACCTGGGACGTCCCAGCATGTCCCCGACTCACCCCCATGGCCGCGAAGACGATGGCGAAGTTGTCCTCGTGGAAGTCCACCACGTCCTTGGATTTCTTCACCAGCCCGGCCTGGCGGCAGATCTGCGCCGCGATCTGAGGGAGGGGACAGGGGCGGGGGTGGCAGCAGGGACACCCCGGAGTGGCCACGGCCCCGCTGGGACCAGGACACGGCCCCATGGGGCAGGGGCCAGGGGGGTGTCCTCCCCTCGCTGCGTCCTGCCGTGCTCGTGGTCACTTCTGGTTGGTCAGGGATGGTTTCCATCCCATCCCATCCCATGGATCCCATCCTATGGATCCCATTCCATGGATCCCATCCCATCCCATCCCAATCCCATCCCATCCCATCCCATCCCATCCCATCCCATCCCATCCCATCCCATGGATCCCATCCCCATCCTCATCCCAATCCCATGGATCCCATCCCAATCCCATCCCATCCCCATCCCAACCCCAAACCTAATCCCCATCCCATCCCATCCCATGGATCCCATCCCATCCCAATCCCATCCCACACCATGGATCCCATCCCAACCCCAATCCCAATCCCATCCCAGGCCATGGATCCCATCCATCCCATCCCACCCCACTGCATCCCAACCCCAATCCCGACCCCATCCCCCTCTGGAATTTCCAGCCCCTCCTGCCCCACCCCCCACTCGTGAGGACATCAGAAGGATCTGGAGCCCCCCAACCCCTGGATTTAGGGACCCCAAACCAGCCCAGCTCCTCCTCCCAACAGCACAAAGGGATTGCTGTGCCAGCGGGGAAACTGAGGCACGAGGTGACGGCAGCTTCCCAGCACCAGGAGTGGGGATCCGACCTTCCCAAATCCCTCCATGCTCCTCCTGCCGCAATCCCACCTCGTTGTGGGGCAGCCCGGCGGCCGAGAAGATGGGAATTTTCTGGCCGCGGGCGATGCTGTTCATGACGTCGATGGGGGAGATCCCGGTCTGGATCATCTCCTCGGGATAGATGCGCCCATGGGGGTTGATGGGCTGGCCTGGAGCGGGAAAAGGAGGGATCATGGAAGGGTTGGGGTTGGAAGGGGTCTTGAAGGCATCCAGTCCCACCCAGGGACCATTCCCGCTCTTCCAGGGTGCTCCAAGCCCTGTCCAGCCTGGCCTTGGACACTTGCAGGGATGGGGTGGAAGAGGATGCAGGGATTGCCCTGGGTGGTGGGAAAAATTGGGAAGAAGTTGTGGAGATGAGCAGGGAGCAGATCTGGGTGGGACAGGAACCGTCCCAGTGCCTGGAGCCTCCTGGAGCAACCTGGTGGGAATGGAGGGATGATGGATGGATGGATGATGGATGGATGGATGGATGGATGGATGGATGGATGGATGGATGGATGATGGATGGATGGATGGATGATGGATGATGGATGGATGGATGGATGATGGATGGATGATG